AGACTTTACTGTAAGAAATGTGGGACAAAATCCTCACTCCTTGCTCTGTGCAAATATACATTTCAGAATTCATTGTATTCAAGATACAATCATGGGTTATTTCAGCAGTCTGAGAAAGCCAAACTGAGTGGGTATCTTTGTCCTGGTAGTCACATGAAAGTTTTTGCAATGTTTTACAAACCTACTTAAGACTATACAAGGGACAATCCTTCTGCTGCAGATCAGAAAGGAACACTGCCATGGGAAACAGAAAGAGGACATTTTGTACTAAAAAGACTAAGTTTGAAAGATACACACAAACTAAAGCATCATGTTGTTGACTGTCTGAATGCCTTTTCATAGAATTTTAGGATTTTTCACAGTAGTCACTCCACAAAGGTGTCTCTGTATAACCACTGGAGGGGAAGAATAATTACAAGTTGCTCAATATATAACAGTTTTATTCACAGAAATAAACGAAATGCTATACAGAGGCCCATATTTTAAAAAGAAGTTTTCTAAAACCCCTTAAAATCAAGAAGGTCTTGTGCCCCCCGTTTAGGGCAATGAAAAACCCTTCTGTGAGTGGCTTTAAAAAATCCTAACCTGAAGTAGCAGCAGTAGTAACTGTGGGAGTGTTGGTATTGAACCACATGCTGTAACCACAACATCACCAAATCAACCAAGGACTAAAATCTGAAGAAACACTCAGGGAGCAAAGTATTCTTGTTAAAAAGAGAAGGCCACAGTGTACCACTGGTGCATGACCTGAGTCTATTATGCCACAATAGTGCAGGTCTACTGGCTTTTATTTGAGACCAGCCATTATCTAAATCCTAGCTTATATATATATATATATATTTTTTTTTTTTTACAAAATCTATGGATTTCAAGGAACAGTCTCTTTTTTTTCTTTTGTTATCAGTTAATTTCAATGTCTGGGTGGTACAGGAACTGCAGTATGAAACATTCCAACACTGACTTCAATATTCATTATTCACAATTCATTCATTATTCAGCCGTGATGGCTGCTTGATTTCAGTGTTAGAGAGGCCAAGGACTGACATGGTTGGAAGCTGAAACAAACTCCACTGAAACCAACTTCCCACTTGGACTTCCTCACAAAGCCTACAACACAGCGGTGGACATAAAATCTGAGCTATGTGTAGGGAAGAGCTGAAAGCATCCATTGTTCTTCTGCATCTCAGCGGAATATATGGCAGTGCAAACATGGCTATCGACAGCTAAGAGTCAGAAAAGTCTGAACAGGATTTTCCTTTTCTTTTTCTCACACAAACCAGGCCAAGGAAGCACATCAGAGAAAGACTGCAAATGTGTGTGTGTCTGCATGTGTGTGAGGAATGAGAGGGGAGAGGAAAGTGTGTAAAAAGCTAATTCAAAGACGCACTGAGCTCATTATGTACACACACATATTTGATGTCAGGCAGATCTCGTCCATGCTGGTGATTTCCACATATGTTAGAATACTCCCAGGTGTAGAAAAAAATGTCACGAGTGTGCATGTGCTTTTAAATGCATGGATTTTTTTAAGAGTTTGACATACTTCAGCACTTCTGCCATTGAGCATATTAATGTCTTCCCATAGTGATATATTTTACAAATATGAAAGCTGACGCTTGTTGGGTTGCACAGTTTATACCAAAGATAAAGTTTTATGAATGTGGGTTATTAGATTGTTGCGGATGCAGACCTATTTGGGCCACAGTGTGTGGATTATTGGCATCTTTGCTTGGCTAAAGGGGATTTGAGTTCAGCCTATCTGTGTGAAAACTAACTTTATTCACTGATGTTAAATTTATGGAAGTTTTTGGTAACTGACACTCTTATTGTGACTGCAACCCCATCTCCCTCACAATATGTTTTATCCAACTAATTTGATTTACTAAATATCATTTAGAGGAAATGTAATCGTGGCCTGGACTCGGATTACTGGCAATGACTTGTACAATCTAGGAAATGTGATGTTCTCATACTACACAGTAGCCATGGGGAGGAGGTGGTCAGGGGGCTTTGTCCAATGTGACCAGACCACAGTTTATTCACCAAATGTTTATGGCTATGTTACCTTCATCAGGGATGTGTCTGAGGTTATTTACGGTTTCTATTATATACAGTCTCGTTGATCTTGATTGATTTTGCCCGCCAGATGTTTCTAACAGTGAACAATTAAAAAGGAATTCAAAAATGATAGTTTGGTGTATTTCTTGTGAGGTAAAAATGCTCTTTAAAAATGAAGTATCCCTAACGGCCACCCATTAGGATAGGGTCCTGTTAACAACAATAACATCTGTTGGGTGTCCACTAATCGGAAGGGTTTGTCGGTTCGATCCCCTGGACTTCCTCCTGTCACATGTCGAAGTATTCTTTGAAGCAAGATACTTAACCGAATTTGAATGTGTTATGAATGAGTTAGTTCTGTTCGGGATGGGGCTTTGCCATCCACTGAGTGAATGTGTGTGGAAAGGCGTGAATTATGGCCGTAGTGTAAAAGGCACTTTGAGTGGTCGAAGACTAGAAAGGCGCTATACAAGTACATGGTCATTTGAATACTTTATAATTGAGGGCCGAGCAAGCTGACCGTGCGAAGGCCCTTTGTAATTGAAGGAATTCCTTATTTTTCCTCCAAACGACTGCATATTTGGAGGTCGCAACATGCTCGAAAACTCATGAAACGCTGGGCTTTGGAATTTCAAGACCTCCGCCATGAAAGAGGGAGTTGTAATAACTTCTGCGTACCATGGATCCGATTCAACGAAACTTTCACATGTCTGGATGAAGAGTCGCGCCATAACAGTCCTATGTGAACGCAGTAATTAGTGGAGAGCGCCACCTAGTGTAAAAGGAAATGTCATTCTTTTATACTTCCATGTTCTACTCCTAGCCGGATGATTCAAGGTCTACTCTTGAAATTTAGTCAGAAAATGAAAACATGTTGTTTGATGATATTTCATTGATTATGTGAGTTTTTGTACAAAGAGGCGTGTCCGTGGCGGTGGCGTCAAATTTTATGTTACCGCCAAGAACTTGAAGTGTACATTGGTCCAATCGGCTCCAAACTTCACTTGTCTGATAAGAGCCCCGGCCTGAACACTTCTATATCATTTATATCACTGATAGTGAGAGCGCCACCTTAGTGTGAAAGGAAATTGTCATTTTTATACTTTCATGTATATCTTTCCAGCAGATTGACCAGATCCAGTGAAATTCTGTCAGAAGTTCCTTAGGATTGATGCCGAATAATGTTAAGAATTTGCGTGGAACTTTGTTGCATGCGACGCGGCGGAAAAATCCGCTTTTTCTGTTTAACATTTAAACCACTTTGGGACGGGCTAAACATGCCCGAAACTTGTGAAACTTTGCACAAAATTCAGGTGTGGCGAAGTGCTAAAGGTATTTCTTGTTTCTGGTAGCATGGCGTTTTGCAAAATGGCTTTAGCCACGCACCCCAGAATAGCCCCCAAGGGACACGTAATGGACCGACATGTACGAAAATTGGTATGCATGTGTATCATGATGGGACAAGCAAAAAAGCCTCTTGGACCCATAACCCAAACACAACAGGAAGTCGGCCATTTTGAATTTCGTGGTCATTTTCGGCGATTTGCACACGTTGTATTTGAACGAACTCCTCCTAGGGAATTTATCGGATTGTCAAATTTAATCAGCGTAATCTAAAGACATTCATGATTAAAAGTTGTGCTATTTACAACATTCCGTCGAACGGCGTGCCCATGGCGTGGCGTCTTCAGTGTACATGATCCGATCTCAACGAAACTTTACATTTGATAAAAGTCCCGCCCTGAACACGTCTACATGACAATATTCAGATATAGTGATAGCGCCACCTACTGGCAACAGGAAGTAAGCACTGCATGGCGATTTTGATCTGATTTATGTGAAATTTTCATGTTGTGGTCTCCATGTGTTACGCTGGCACGTGACGTGTGCGAGGGCACGTTCATCGCTGCTTGCAGCTTTAATTATATTTATATCATCATCAGAGCATACACTTGACACTTTGCGCAGGAAGTCAGTCAAGGCAAACCATTTTGCATCTTTGTAACAATACAATGCAGTAGGTGTAGGGCCACCATTAAGTTTCAGTTTTGGACTTTCAGGGGAAAAAGTCTGGGAACTCTTGGTCTACAGTTTACCTAACACATCGATGCTTTGCGTTGAAGCTCACACTGGTCTGGTTTAGGTTGCTACAACACTTAGTTAAGGCTATTAAAAAATGGTGGCTTTGATTAGTATTGATAAAATTAACACGTCTTTAATTCTTTAAAGGTGTGTTTTTTATATTTACAGTGAAGACCACCTCCTTACCTGACTGTACATAAAAATATTTTAGGTTTTAGTAATCAGGAGTGATTACTGTTGGAGACAGGATCAGATAATGATGGATTACAGTCACTGTTCTCCAATCAGCTATTACAATAACGCAGAATCACAGTATCACAGCAGCATTTTAATGTGTGTATCATTTGCATATAGCGTTCATGTTTGTTAATTGTTTGATTCCCTCACAACAAAGATTGATTGACAACAGTGTTCAGCAGCAAACTCTCACATATATCTTGCATTTCAGAGTCTCTCAGCACTTCAATGGAACAGAATTGGTAAATCAGTGGTATTCTGATGTCTACATTTTTCCACCACGGCTGCATAAGTCAGTGCTCCATTTGGGCCATGCCAGTCACACCACTGTCAGTGGTTAAAACATTACAGTTTGGTTAAGCTTAGGCACGAAAACTACTTCGTTAGAATTAGGATTGTTAGCGATGTTATAGACCTGACGAGTGAAGTTAATTTACATATGTTACTTTAAAGAAATACTTATAATACCTATAGCATCTTATTTTGAAGTGGGGGGTACTGATGTGGCTGCAACATTCGATAACTTGGGAGTTCAGCAGGTTTTGTGGAATAATTATCTGTGTCAACCCACTGTATTAGCCTATAACCCTCCCACCACAGGCTCCAGTCCCTCTCAGTCTTACCAGTTTGTGTTTGGCGTCGGTAAGGTGCGTCTCCTCGTAGCTGTCGTCATGGGCCGTCCAGCTGTAGGACACCAGGAAGTGGAGGATGGGCGGGTGGTAGGTGATCTCAGGACGAGCCCATCGCACCACTAGAGCGCTGCTGTTCACGTGCTGCACCTTCATGTTGATGGGAGCACTGCTGCAGACTGGGTGGAGGATGGAGGCAAGAATGGAAGAAAGAAAGGAAGGATGGAGGGGCGACAAGGACAGAACAGAGGGGAGAGGAAGGGAAGACATGGAAAAATAGAAAAGGGAGATAAGAATGTAAAATAAAGGTATAGAAGAGAAAATAGGGGTTAAAAAAGTGGAAAGGATGGAGATGAAAAAGGACAGTCAAAGGAAGGACAGAGGAAAGGAAGGAGGAAAGAAAGGAAAATGATATAGGATTGAAGGGGGGTTGAAAGCAGAAGACGAAAAGGAATAGAGAGAAGGAGACAGTCAGAAAGGAAAGAAAGTAGTAAGGAAGACATTTAAAATGGAAGTGTGGAATTAAAGAAAACCAGTGAACCGAAGGATGGAGAGAGAGAGGTAAAGTCAGATGACGAAAGGAGGGATGAGAAAGGGAGAAAGGCATGGATGAAAGAATGGACAGGAAAATAAGAAATAAAAGGAGTGATCATACAAGAAAAACGAAGGATGTGCAAGAAAAAAGGAATAAATGAGATTTAAAGGGAGAAAGAGACAAAGAGAGATAATTTAATGACAGAATGCATCGGCTCAGTTTATCTTCCAAATACACCCAGACAGAGAAAGAGAGAGAGAGATAGTGAGTGTTGTGTGTGCGTGAGTTGTATTCATGATGTGTTATTAATATTGCTGTGACACTCTGAGTGATCCAGACACACACACACACACACACACACACACACACATAGGTTTTGTCTAAAGGGTCCAATAACACAAGTTCATATATAGTCACCTTCGGGCAAAATGCAGCCAACCTGCTCTGCCTTCAAATATCTGGCGGTTGGAGATATGAAGGCAAACACATAAACATTGTGTATTTTATTATGAATTTAACAACACACACTCTTGCATACTAACCCTCCATTCATGCAGATAGGAGCAGCCCCGCACCAGCGGCTGCTGACCACTAGATGTCTCCGTTTGACCAGTGAGATGTTCTTCTGAGCTTGGGCCGACTATTGATGGAGTATTTGATTCCACATATTGAATATTTTATAATTAGGAGTGTAAATTCTCAAATAGTGGCCGGGGATCAGGCCTTTATATGAAACAGGTTTCTCATTTTGCCCGTGTATGTCGCATATGCCTTCCTGTTTTCTGATCTGTTCTGAACATCTGATGCTGTTTGTGCAAAACCAATGCGAACTTCCTGCACGTTTACCTGATTTTTTGATAAATTCAGTGTAATCCAAATTTATACAGACAAACTCCATCAGTATAACAACAGTCATGCAATCTTTTCTAATAGAACTGTCTTCATTCCCTAATTATCTACAGCTTTTCCTTCCATATATACACATTATTATTATATTATTATATATTATATTATTATAAATATTA